AGAATATTTATATTTTGTCTTTATTTAATCAGATCATGCATTTTATCTTTTTGAACTACAAGAGACTAAAACTTAAAGATCTCAAGATATCATCTCTGCTGGAGAACTTTAAAGAGCTTAATAAGATTGCAAAGAAATATACAAAGAAATTGCTTGTTAAGCAGACTCTGTACAAATACTATAATCTTTACTCAGCTTCTATAAATATACCAGCTTATTATGCACTGAGATATCAGAAGACACTTCAGAGAAAGATTATCACTCTTATTAACATACTCTTAAATAATAGAGAACCAGTTCTGCAAGAGCTTCTGATAAAACTCACCAGCAAATGAAATTAACTTATTAGCAGTAAGAAAGACTCTTCATACTCTCTGCAGTACTCAGTTGAAGTCATTGATTGCCAGCAGAAATTAGAGATAAAGTGGGTGGAAGGAATAGTACTGATGAATAATATACTAAAGTTACTAGAAGAAACTATTTGTGGATGGGATAGCTGAATAAGTCATGAGAATTATAAGACACTCAAGCAAAAACTTGATCTTGTCTGAAAGCAGTTCATTGAATATTTTGCTGGAGATGATGGAGAAGCTGCTGAGGCATGGGCACAGGCTTGACCATTTCAATAAGGTGCTGCTTGATGCAGCAGATGCTGATCTTGATTATTCTCTCAACTAGCCACAAGGCAAAATTAGCGTAGAAATTAGCGTGTACAGTAGCGTATTTAATACTGGAATTCTATTGGAGGTTGGTGTATTTGGTGGTAATCTGTAATTTATTCTCTCTAAGCCTATTTTGGTTATATTAGAATTCCATATTTGTAGAATGGAACTCTTTCCAGCAATGCCTCTTGAGGCAGAGAGCTACTATACACACTGAGCAACCATGCAGTGAGTTAGAGACCCAGCCTTTCTTCATTTAACTTTATTACTTTTTATACTGACACCAGGCACAAACTGCCATAGCTAATAATGTAGTTTGTAAATGAATAAGATCTATATTTGACCATTGCAGTGATAGAGGGTCAGCAGATTTGAAGAGAGCTTTATAGAGTTATTTCTAGAATGCCATATGCCCAATTGGCCTAGTAGTAAGGTAGTTCACCACTAAACAAGCCACATCACTAAACAAGCTAATTTTGTCAAATGCTTCACACAACAAATTTATTAAATATCTCAACAACCAGATTTTTATTATTAAATAGCTATTAAATATTAAATAAATGTGTTCTTTAAAGCATAGAAATTAGTGTAGTTAGGAAAATAAATAAGTGAACAGTCTAATATTATAGCTATAGTAAGAGCTTTAAAAAGTAGATAGAAAAGAATTCAAAAAAATGTCAACAGTAAATTTCTTGACTAGAAAGTCTAATATCTTGCTATAAAGACTTTTAAAGCTCTTACTTGCTTTTTTAAAAAATTGTATAGACTCTCTATAATAAGATTCTTTAGTAGAGAAGTTCTTCTAATAGTATTTTAAAGCTGCTTCTTTTGAAGCTCCTGTTGAAGTTTTGCCTCTTGTGTTTGAGCAATTTTATCAGCTTTTTCAGCCTTTATTTCATCCAGGCGCTCGCGTGCCTTAATAACTTTTGTTGGAGACCAGAACTGCACTTGACTAGGATTATCTCTATTGAGTAGGCCTAGGGGCTTACCTTGCTTGCAGTGTTGCTTCTCCATCACTAGAGTTGATCTTAGCTGCTGATTCTCATGTTCCAGCAGTTTATTATAAAGAGCAAACTGCTCACTGGCTTGGATAATCTCTCCAATACTCTGTGAATTTAGGCTGTGCTGAAGATGTATATTCTTGATCTCTTGTCAGAGCTGATGCATATTGCTAGGAATAGGAGATTTAACTGGCAGTGTAGGGGCTTGAGCAGTTTCAAATTGGTGTAGTTGATGTTGAGGATTCAGAGAATTAATTCCAGTCTTTGCAAAGCCAGCAAGTATATTTTCAACTGTCAAAGCCTTCTTTCAAGCCACATTGAATAGTCTCCAGAAATCCCTTTTTGTTATTTGAATATAGCTTATTTCTTGATGTAGTAGTGCTTCCAGCTCATTAGAATATGCCTTGCCCAGTGGCCCAAAGATTTCAACATCAAGAGGTTGCAAATAGTGAGTTGAATGCAGTGGAAGGATCATAAGAAGAATCTTTTTATAATCAGTGTATTTGATAAATTTCATATTTATATGGAAGGAATGGCCATCTAGTAGAAGCAGATGTCTTCCTCAACCAGCTTGTTTCTTAGTATGCTGATTGAAAACCTGTTTCAACCACTCCAGTCTATATTCATTATTGCTCCAACTATTTGTTGAAGCTGCAAAGTAGGCCCATTTGCTTTCATTATAATCATCTAGCCATGTATTCTGGAGATCTTGCAATTCACTCTGATAAATAAGAGCTGGAGGTAGTGCAATTTCTTCAGCAGAGACTGAGTAGAGCAATAAGAGAAATTTCTGACTATCATTCTGAGTAATAGCATTCTTTCCAGCTTGTAGAGCTTCAATAGAGACTAATCACTTTGAGGCATGGCAGAAGTGTAGAAGGAATTCTTTTTCATTAAAGTTATAGATGTTTGAGGGCTCAAGATTATATTGATCAATTTTCTGCTCCAACTACTTTATAAGTAATAGTCAAATAGTTAGCCAGCATCAACAACTGCAATTGCAAGTAATTAAATAAATTATTAAATTACAAGCATATAGAAGTGCTTAAAGCACTAATAGTTATTTGCTATCTGTTTATTTTGATTAATTACTTTAAAATAAATGCATTTGATCTTATCATTATACTGCTTGTGAAATTAATTAATCCAGTTGATTTCAACATCCTCTCCTGTCATCTCTTGTACAATATTTTGTAGAATCTGAGGTGTATTAGCAAGACCACAGCTAGAGAGCTTGTTTATATAATTCAGAAGCTCTGTCTTCTGTATATTAGAGAGCTTTTTCTTATATCAGAAGACTGCTTCATTCTGAGCAAGTTGCAAGTCTTTATGTTATCAGCACAGGATCTCTTGATTAACTGAGTACTTTCTTGTGATTGCAGTATAATTTAAGGTCTCTTGCAATTCAAGATCTTCAATTGCAAGCCTAATTGAGGTGTTGTTGACCATGTTGTTGCATATTGAATGTTGAACATTGGAGAAATTTTGGTGGTGGAAGATTTGGCTTGTTTAGTGGTGTGGCTTGCTTAGTGGTAAACTACCTTATCTTTGAAGTTCCACTTTAGTGGTGGTCTGCACCGTCCTTCTGTATCTGGTGGTAGATTTTTTCTATATAAACAGGCTATTAATCAAGACTGACAAATCCCACAGGTGACATTCAATCCATCAGAATACAGAGACTTCCCTTCCACCTGATATCCTCATCACAATGATTAACCTTGATGAAATACAATTCTACAATCCCAAATCAATGCCACAGAGGCCCCAAAAGCCCTTGAAACCTGTCAAATTCACTGCCCCTATCCATTTCCCCAATCCAGCTCCCAAAAAGCAAGATTTCCCATAATCATCAAACCCTTGAAATTTTTCTAAACATCTTACCAACTCACATCCCCCAAAGCATCACCTGCTGCCCCCGCGTCCTTCTGTGATAATATCAGACCATCAGCCTCTGCATGGAACTTCTCCAAATGATTTTGACCAGGAGCTGGCGTGACTGGAGGTAGCTGAAGTGATTGGTTCAACTGAGGGGGATTCTATCACCAATCAAAGCTCTGGAGAATTGGAAAGATCACTTGACAAAGCGTCAACATCACTAAAAGATTTGCTACTCACTTTCCCCTTGACTTTGGCATTCTAGTATTGGCCATAAAATGCTTACAAAGGCGTACCAATCCAGAGGATGAAATTGATGCTGGCGCTAAACGTCAATTTGTTCCTGGGGTGCTCGGTCAACACACGGTGGGAATCACTTCAAATGGTGGTGTTCGAAATCCGCCTGATGTGAAGCTTCTGGATCACTTGCTGTTGGTACAAAATGGGACATCACCAACATTGACACTGATGTGCCTCCCAAGTGATGGTGTTTAACTGTTGATGAGAGTGATTTTGGCCGCAGCGTCACTGGTGCCGGTCATACCAAGAGTGATGAGGGGCATGATCCACTGGTTTGGAAACAGAAGCAGAAAAGCTCTCCCCAACAGCAGGCTAAACATCTCCATCATTGCCAGTCCTTCTCTGCCGCAAGCTTGTTGTCAGAGAGTCTTTTCGCCCTAGACAACAACAGCAACCATGAGGCAGATATTTCCAGCACTGCCAATATAGATACAACCTTCAGGCAATGCTGACTGCCACCACTGCCACTATTGGTTTTCAGGAATGGAGTGAAGAGAAAGGAATGGCAAGTCAATAAAATCTTAGATTTGGAGATTGTGCACGCGGGCGGACGGGTGCAGTTAGGATATCTTGTGGACTGGAAAGGCTATGATGGGCCTTCTTGGGAGCCTTCTTGTAACTTGATTCCTGGGAGCGAGCTGTTGGTTCGTAAGTTCCACGACAATTACCCTAGCCGACCATTGTCTGTTTCTGTGCGTCCTTCCTTGTATGGCCGCCAGCCATCAAAGCATCGTGTAAAGCGCTCAATGCGGAGACGCAAAACAGGGTGCATTCAGACATAGCGGGCGGGTGCACTGACTTCTATATCTTTCTTCTCTATGTTAATTCCCCTGTCATGAGTAGTTTTTACTACTGTCTGCTCCTGGTTCATTGCTAAATACTCATTATCATTCTTGATTCAGTGCTCGCCCTGTACTGTAAGACTTGGATTGGGTGGATCGATGGGGAAACATCCAGTCTAGTCTATCATATCAACTGCATAAGAGGAATATGTGCGCGGATAGCCTGGAGCAGAAGATTCAGAGGCGCCCGAAGGCGAAGGAGTTGGTTAAGAGCGGGACTCTGGACGAGGATCAGGATCCGACGAAGGCGTAGTGTAGGAAGGAGGTATCCTCTGTGAGTGAGACGGGGGGAGAACTAGCAATCTGTTCTCTTGATTGGGCCTGTGTTAAGTCCACTCTCTTCCCTCTCAAAGGAAATAGGACAAATTTCTTTATATAAAATACACTCAATATCATAACAATAGCTCGCACAACATAGTTGAACAAATATCCGAAATCACCTAGAGCTTTCCCTCTTCATAAATATGCAAAGATTGAAAGGATCGAGACCATGATCGCAGGACCCAGGTAATGTTTTCCAAACCGCAACAGCCCACGAGATAAATAGCCGGTAAATTAGAGAGCTAGTATTCGGCTGATTGGTCCCTGTACTGAACTATTTCAGGAGTGAGTTCGATTAGCGGGGCTGCCACGGATTTGTAGTATCTTCCCAACTCTTCAGCATTCATCCGGTTGGTGACAACGGCGACATGAGCATCTGCCAGGGCCTTGTTGTGCGCGTCTTCGGCGAATGGCACTTTTTGAAGATAATGCCCGTTGATCTTCAGAAACATATCCGCGGCCACGAGGGCCGTGCGCTTGTTTCCGTCCATGAAAGCATGATTTTTCATAATCTTTTCCGCGAGGTTCGCAGCAAGCTGGAACAGGTCTTCTTGCTGCCCGTAGTGCTTTAGATTGATTGGCGAATGGATCGCGGACTCGAGCATGGCTGGTTGGGTTGCGGCGCGGCCGGAAGTGATGAATTTCAGATGAAGAGTTTGAACTTGTGACGGTGTCAAGAAGCGGATGGTTCTAGTAGCCATCTCGTGGGAACGAGGGTTCTTAAAGTATGGGTTCGGTGAGAGGGATGTACTTGGCGGCTTCGAGGTTGTAGTGATATGAGAGCTTGAAAGTACCAAGCGACACAGGAAGAAGGGACTCCTAAACGCTCAGCGCAAGAATAAAGAGAGCAACAACAATAATGGATTAACAAGTAGTGATGATATGAAAACAGTTATCATATGGAAGTCGCAAGGGCCTTATATGTCTACTCCCTCGAGTTGACTGGGGGGGAAGGACACCATCCATCTACGGGCGGCAATGGAAACAACAAGGCATATTCCTAAAGATAGAATACACCCTTAATATGCATCAGGCACCATCGAGGTAGTAATCTCGTCCAATAGCAGGACTGGTGTTGCCGCCCGACGTTGTGGCACCCACTGTCAAGCCTGCGCCCCCTAGTTCAACCATTTGTCGGGGTATATGTTCTCGACCGCTAGGATACAGAAAGCTCAAATTCGATGGGCTGAGGAGCCACTCATGCAAAAAATACGTGGAATGAATGCAGGGGCTGCAACACACAGCAATCCCCCCACCATTATCAAGGGCCACACTCGCAAGCGCTGGGCTGACTGTTGCATAGCTCTATCATATCGTCCCTAGTGACTCGCGAATTATGTTGGGAGCATTGTAAGTAAATATTTAGAACAGATTTATGTTACATCTCAGTTTGTCAGCCGGGGAAGTATATGCAATACGCACATTTGTCGTGACAAAACAAGTTCCACTTTTAGTCGTGAAATGCGTGTCTGACGAGTTGGTAAAAACGTCCATGGGCACGAAGAGTTATGGGTACTAAGCAATTGATGGAGTCCGGATATTGAATAACATTCCTAGGATCACCTATCCTTTAACTCATCGAGCGCGCCCTGTAATTCCCGCCCACTAGCGTTGGCCAGCTCGAAGAATTTTGCTGCAGTCAGAATATTAATGTCAGAACACTTTCTCATCATTGAGCAGTGTGCGATCTGTGTGGTCAGGTTTACCGTCAGGAGTCCCATCCAGAACAATGTCATGCATATTTCCAGTCAGATGTAGAGTTGCCGGGCTGGTGTTTGAATCGGTTTGGCGTGGAAAGTTTATAGGAATATGAAGCCGGGGGTAACTTGACGGTCCTAGAAGTATATATCTTGTCTTAGCAAAATTCCTGAACCAACTACCAAAACACAACATACCGAAGCCAAAATGCTGCGTGTCATGGAAAAATGTAACTGGGCAGCTGTCTTCTCCGGCTTTACCGCTCGGAAGCGCCGTTAGTTTGAGCCGGTCATGGCTTGCGGCATGCAAAGCGCGTCCAATATCCGTGGTAATCAGAACAAATGTTTCTCCTGGGTCGCCAATGAACACGGGCACTTTGGTGGAGACTGGAATGCCTTTCGCATCATAGTTGAGGAAGTCTCCTGTAACTTGATGCAAATATCGAGCGGTAGGTCTAGCAAGTCCTATGCTAGAAGATGGTCGAAGCACGCGAGGGACACAGCGAAGCATAATGGCTTGTAGAGGGGATAAAGGTTTGCCTAAAAGAGTAAAACTTGAAAAGAGGCTGCAAGAAATGGACTTAAGCACCCTGAGCTGGGTGGATCGGAAAAACAGTGTCCGTCGCGCCAAAGGGCATTTTGATGGAGGACTTGTATGCTTGTCATTCACTAAGCTACCTAAAGGGGAATCTCGGCTAATCTATGTGGGTCACGTGAGCGAGGTGCTGGTTGGATTACCTAACACCCCCCCATGCAACGAGCTCCAGCAGCGAGCAAGAGCCACAAAGATCCAAAGCTTCCAAATCTCTCAAATCCGCGATAAAAAATTAATTACAGAATCCAGATTTATTCCTTCTTTAGGCTTAGCTCCATTTTGCTGTGATACCATATTTTCACTGGCTTCACTGATAAACCTCCATATTTTCCTGTATCAACTCATCACCCCTATCGCGCTCACAAATTGAGCATAGGGATTCATTGCAAGAGCCTTCATGAGCCCATCAGCTTTATTCACATCAGTTCCAACATGCTCAATTGAGATTATTTTTCTTGTCATTGTCATCTGTTTTATCTGAAGATAGCAAGCTGTCAAGATCTATCAAGAGTGAATCATCAAGGTCCATATGTTCAAGCTCAACAGTGGGTGGTGTACTGGGTGTTAGGACTCTGACAGGGGAGGCAGAATCTTGTAAAGATTCATGTGGACTATCTGATATCTTTAAATCATCTTCTGTAATTTCTGTAAGAGTTTTATTTTCTGGTGGGTCTGCATGTTGTAGAGACTGCTCTGAATCTGGCTTGTCAGATGTCTCATTACTAGATTTTACTGGTGATTGTACTACAAGAAGAGCCTTGCTAGTTATGATCAGCTTTTTTGATGAAACTAACTCAAGCATTTGCCAGATCTTTTTCATAATGTCATTATCTAATTCTAAGTCTGTTATATCTTTATATTTTAAACACAAACAAGTCTGTCCAAATATTTTACAGTAGAAGATATTCATTCATTCACACACAATGTTCTCAGTCTTATTCAGTGAATTTGCCATAGTATCATTCTGTCTCTTATTATCTTTCTAAGCCTCAACATCTTCTGGAAGTTCATCTAGCCATACAGCTAGTTTGTCTTTGAGATTGCTAAATGTGGCCTGTGCCATACCAATAATTTGAGAGATCATCTTGTTTACTTGATTAAATTCAACAAAACAATCAAACATATTTACATTATGAAAAATCTAGATTCATTGCTTTTCTGTTTGATTAAGACAGTAAACTCTTCTTATAGCCTGTAAAGTAATGTTTGTGTTAATCACTGGTTCAAGCATGGCAATGTCTGAGCAGTGGTGATGGATATTAATATCAAGAGAGCAAGTACTGTAAGTGGCAACCAAAACTTCAATATTGCTGTCAGAATTATTGAAGACATCTTGTATTTTTTGCTATTTCTGGGACAACTGGCCTGCTTGCAGTGAAAGAACATTGTATTCAAGAAGTTTTAAAAAGATTTTAATATAGAACTCAACAGTTGGGTAAGCAACAAAGACTAAAAAATAATGGCTCTCAGCATTCACAACTTTTTAAAGAATCTTGAGAAATGTCAGGTATTTCAGTGTTGTTAAGCATAAGAATTATGCAATTCATACATGGTCAGCTAGAATACAGAAAATGTTAACATCAGTGATCATTCTGCTTATAAGCCACATAATTTCCTGGAATGAGTGATGCTTTCAGTTAATATCTTAAGAAAGGTTACCCTCACACTTCACAACAGTTGAAGTAAAAAGATTTTCCAAAGCAAATAACAACAATGCATGTCTGAGCCAGCAATAAACAATTATATTAAAACCACCACTAACATTATTTTCATTCTCAGAAGATTCTTGAGTATCATCAACAGTCTCTTTCTTCAGCATCAAAACAAGATGTGAGTAAACACTGTAATAGTGCACCAGCTGTTTTATCTGCATCATTTTACACTTGATTATCCATACATTATAGCTTGGAATGTCCCTGCCAATAGTAACAACTCTGTGTGTACTATCAAGGTTCATTTGGTGACCATATGTTTAACAAAGCTGGATGCAGTTGAGAATTCAAGACAAAGCAATCATTGCAGAGTATGACAACATTGAACCACATTGAAAAAGCTGATTGTAGAGTAATAGGTGCAGAATATGCAAGCAATCCATACCAGACATGGGTGCTTCCTCATAAACTTTGAGTGGGTCATCAATTACTCAAAAATCAAAATCCATATGTAAAGATTCCTTATTGATAAGCTGTATAAAACCAGACAAATCAGAGGCTCTGTTTATTATAGAGATTGCTGACACAATCCAGATATGATCTCTTGGAATCAAGACAACAGCCTTGTAAACAGAGGTTCTTGAATTCTTAACTTTGTGTCCTTCATCAAGTATCATATATTCAAAGAAGTTTTCAGTCAGCTAATTAAGTTTCTTATGAAGCTGCTGAAGCATGTCCCCAAATACACCAGAGAGTCTATCTAGCCATACAGCAGCATCTGAAGTCTCATGTTGTACAGCTAGATCATCAGAGCTTAAATACATATGCTGTCACCATGTAAAATATGATGTGATGATAACTGTTGTTGTGGTCTTCAGATCATTTTTGTTAAGCTTTTTGAATTCAGATTTCAATGTGGTTTTGTTGACAATAAACTTCTTGAGAGTGTTATTAGTGATTCCTCTACTGCCAAAGATGCTGTAAAAAAAAATCAGTCAAATGCTATCAGAGAAGAACCAAACAATGTAATCAACCTAATTAGTGACCACTTTATTCAGACAGATAATCAGAGTAGAATAATATAGCTCAGTTGACTTTTGTTCTTTCACTTTGAGAATTAAAGTGCAGCATTGTACAGTATTTTCCAGTTCTGCTTCATCAGCAAGAATTTCATTTTCCACTGATGACAGCTCTTGTGTCAATTTCCAAGCAACCTCAGTGACTTGCCAAGGTTTCAGTGTAAGATTTGCAATCATCAGGTTGTCAGGGTCCATATTCAAGTCAGAACAAGCAGTAAGATAATCTAGAGCTTCTGCTCTAGTTGTATTAAGCATGCAATTCAGCTTAAAGAGAGCCTTGCCAGTATTCTTAATGGAATCTTTGTTGTTGTCATCATTATCACTCATTTCAAGATATTCTAGATGTTTGGCATCAGCTATTAGTCTATTGTTGGATCTGTGCTTTTCCACAAACAGCATTTCAATATCAACAGTATTTTTAGTAAACTCTTCAAGTAAGGCTTTTCTCATGCCTTTATTCATAGAAGACAAAGGAATATCAAAGCTAATTCCATAAATAATCTTGTTTATAGTTTTGACAGCATTATTGGTGTCCTTCTTAAAATCAGCATCAATATTTTCATTGGTAGAATCAATTTCAACATCATCTTGAAACTCTTTGCCAATAGCTGTAGTAATAGCAGCCTTGACTCCTGCCTTTGCAGCAGGGTCATCTTGTGCATTCAGGTCTGCATACTTTGAGATGATCACTTCATTATCTCACTTATAGTTTTTTTCTTGTTTAAGCTGTCAACCAGCAGATCTCATTCATACTGTGTATTTCAATAGAAGAAGAAGTCTATATATGTTCTCAGGGTTATTATCTTTAAATCTCCCCTCAGATTTTGCAATTAATTGCTGAATAGCCCATAATGACACCACAGTAGAAACATTATCAGTAGACTCAAGATTCTCAAGATTATTATTGAGTGAAGAAATTTCTGCCTGTATTGTTGGAAGCTTTATTTTCTTCATTGCATTAATACAGATTGAGGTGTTAGATCTGTGTGCAGGGCCAGTTCTACCAAAAAAATTGCTGTATTTCTTGTGGAATATAGTCAAAACATAGTTAATTTCATCTGATCACATTTATTCTCACAATGTGCCTGTTATTGGAAAGCCTAAATATCCTGCAAGCTTTGCTTGATTTTCATGGATTCAGCTACCATCAAGTACATGAACTCTGAGGATTGTACTTGAGCAAAGATCTTCAGTCTTGGCCATCTTGCAAGTTTTTAGTGTGCTTATTTTCTTTAATGGAGTTGGAGGATCCATTTCTCAAGCTAGGCTAAACTCTATATTAGAATGATAATCAGTCACTCAATATAGTAAATATTGAGGCATACTAGCTGTACAATAAGGATTTCAAGTTGAAAGATGTATTGCATATCTAGATGTACAACACACAATATCACAAAAGAAGTCTTTAAATAGTGCCTAAGTTTAATATCAGCTTGTTGCTTATGAGAAAGAAAGTGCTTATAGAGCTTGTTTTGCAAAGAGAATCTCACAGAGAAGTCTGTATATTGCCAATCTCTAGTTAGTAAGCTTATAAGCTCTTTCAAGATTGGAATTCATGGCTGTAGAGAGCTTATCTTTACTGATTTGGAGAGCTGGCAAGCTTGTAGCATAGCTGGCAAGACTGTGCAGGTTAGTAGTTAGAGAGAGAGTTGGAAGGGAGATTACAGTAACAAAAATAAAGTGTAGGCTCTTGATCTAATTAGGAAATCCAAAACAACACATCTCTATGCTGTATGGCTAGAAAAGTAGCATGAGATCTAATATTCTTATATTTGGAGTAGAAGCTGTGAACCTTCAGCAGTATTCCTAAAATACATGCTATGTCTTACAGCTAGATAACAGCTCAGTAGATCAAGTAGGCAAGCATGGCAACAAGAAAATAATATAGAATCTCTATATCATATTACAACATCTCAATGCTACATGTGTATTTCAGAATGGCAAGTATAAGAAACTCTATAGCAACTAACTTTAATTCAAAGTCATGCATAATCATGGTGACATTGAGCTTGTTCATGGTATAGAAAATGTTAAAATCAGTAATAAGACTAGTATTCTTGATAGCTTAATACTGGGAATTGTTGAAGTAAGCTGGCATGGTCACAGCAGCATTGTTAATGATACCACCAAGATGAGATTTGGCTGTCTCTCCCATCTTGGTCAAGATCATGGAGAAGATCTCCCCCAGTGGAAACTGCTTTGTTATTGAAGTAGACTGGCACAGTCATGCCAGTATTGTTAACAGTGCCACCAAGATGAGAGTCAGCTGTCTCCCCCATCTTGATCAAGACATGGAGAAGATCTCCCTCTGGCAGAAACTGCTTTATTATTGAAGTAGGCTGGCACAGTCATGCCAGTATTGTTGACAGTGGAGATGATCTTCTCTGGTGTGAATTGTTTGGTCTTGTCTTTGAATTCAAGATAATAGGCTTGCTGCTCTTATTAATAATCTTGAAGAGAAAGTGTTTCATGTCAGCTTGGATCTTAGTATTGTTGAATTTATAACTGATAAGATACTTAGCATCAAAGCCTGTGTTTACAAAGTTTATGACAACTTGATTCTTTACAGCATCATCAACCAAATGCTCAGTATCTGTAAAGACAACAAATAATAGAGTAGTGTGATTTTCTCAGTCATTTGCAATGATTCTGATATGGCAGAACCTTCATAAACATTAGCTAGATTTTTATAAAAGATACAATATTGATAGAACTTATCAAATACTGCTGTTAAGTAATCAAGCTAGCAATACTCTTTTTTCTGCAGCAGAAGCAGCAGCCACAGCTGCAGGTTATAACTGCAGCAGCAGTACAGCTAGATATAATATTAAGAGTTGTGAAAGACAGAAGAGAAATGGTATTTATATCTTATATAGTGCTGCCAAGCTAAGCCTAAAATAAACTAGCTTGTAAATATTATTATAATATTATGATAAAAATACACTGCTCTGTAAGTAAGACTAAAGTAAGTGCAAAGTAAAGTCAGAGCAAGTATAAAGTAAAGTCTTTATTATTGTGCAACAATTTACTAGCAACTAAATTTTTGAATGATATTTTTCTATTACTGTTGTGCTGCTTGTAGCAAGCAGATCTCCACATTAAGTAAATTAAAGAGGCATCACACAAAATATTAAGTGTTACTTGACTATCTTCAAGAATTCCAGTCTTCCCAGACTGAATTGGCCACTCTGACAGACTCAGAGATTCAAGAACATGCTGACAATCTTGACACTACTGGAATCTCTACTGATGAATGAGATTTTGTCCATGACAACTATAGTGACTGGTTGGCCAATGTGGAGAAAGAGAATATTGAAATGAATGAGCTAGAAATCTTGTCACTTGAAAGTGCAGCAGCTAGCAATCTTTCACTACAAGAAGATTTAGTTATAAGTGATGTTAACACTAGTGACAAGAGAGAATGTACAGAACCTGCTGTCAAAAGAAGCTTAAACCTCTACATTCTAATTCCACCAGCTAAGCTTTCTGTCACATCTACAATCCATATCATCATATACAAGACAACAGATTAAAGGACAAGTGTACCTGTTGATGTCCAAATTGAATCTGATTCTAAATATCTGGAAGAACACAATTCATTTTATTTATTTTGTAGTGAGATTGATTATGAAATAGTGAGTTTCTTTTTCAGAGCAAAACTCAGCAAGAGAAATATTAATAACTTCTTAAAGAGCCCTTTTCTACACAGTATCACTATACAACTGAGTTTTCACAATACAGACAAGCTCTTCTTGAAAGTTGCTGAGATCTCACATGGCCATACTACAAGAAATTGGGTTCAGATAAATGTAATAATTCTCTTGCCAGAACTAGGTTTGCACTTTGAGACACACAAGCTTCAGTATCAGAAAGTTGAATATATTATTCAATATCTTCTTGGCCATAAATTATTCTGGGAACATCTGGTATATGAACCAGTGCAGCACTTTAATCAGAGCAATAACTGAGTGTATACAGAAATGCATACTGGAAATTAATAGCAGAATACACAGGAGAACTTTTCTGATAATGCAACTGTGGTACTAGTGTTGATTGTGACAGACAAAACACAGCTTATTAATCAATATAGAGACTTGAACTTATGGCCTGTATATCTCTTAATTAGAAATTTAAGCAATATAGCAAGATGGTCTTATAACATGAATGGTACAATGCTTGTTAGATTTCTCTCATTACTAAAGAATGCATTACAGAAACTCAAATCCTGAGTGTATCATAAGTCTATAAGAATTATATTAAAGTGTAAGTCTTACTTTAAAGCACTACAGGTCCCTGTCATCACAATATATAATCTAGCTGTACAGCTAGATATATGCTGAATTTGTTGGCAAAATTAACTGACAGTTGATTGAGTCAATTAGCACTTGAACACTTATATAAAACAGGCTTCATGATCAAATATGGTGATGAGTGAGTTTGAAACTGTTTTCCTATTCTTGCCAGAATAATAGCCAACTATAAAGAACAAGTGTTGATAACTGGAGTCAAAAGTAGTAGACACTGCACCATTTGCACTGTTCCATCTAATGCACAAGAGAATCTGACAGAATTCTGGTCAATGAGAACCCATGAATACATACTGGCAATACTTCAGAATCAGCAAAATGCAATGGCAACCAGGAGGCTTGATAAAATTCCAACAAGAATTAAAAAAATGTAGTTTCATGCTGTCTTAAACTTTGTATAGCATCATTCATTGGTAAATGTTCACAGTATTATGATGATTGACATCCTCCACCAATTACTTAAAAAGTTAGTGAATTATTTGATTGACTGATTAAAAATTTTAATCAAGAATATCTTCAAAGCAATCTGTCAAGGGAAGAAAGACTCTGATTCCACCATTACTATATCAGATGCTGGGACTATTGCAAGGCTTGATAAGTGGTTTCAACAGATTTCTGTATATCATTTACTGAAGCACTTCAAGAAGTTCAGCACTATAAGTCAATAAACCAGAGTTCAACAGAGAGTAGTTGTATGACAGTTGATTATAGTAATTGCTTCAATACTGACAAAGATAAAGTCAGCTGCCATGCTATTTGCTCATGCTGTACTTGATCTGCTTTTTCTTGTATAGTATCAGTTGCATGATAAGAATACATTGAAATATATTGAACATGTACTGTATCAAATTAACAGACTTCAATAAGCTTTTAGTAACTACCAGACAAATAACAAAGATTCTGCTAAGAATGAGCATTTTAACTTCTCAAAGTTCCATGTACTTGTTCACTACATGTAATTCATTCATGAATTTGGGAGTCTTGATGAATTCAACATTGAGAATTATAAGATATCACACAAACATTTAGTCAAAGAGCTATTCAGTAGAACCAAAAAGTAAGAATCATATCAGAATCAAATAATTAAACACAACATCCACCACATAAACATGATGTCAATCAAGAACACAGCACTTGATGATAAAATTCTGAACCAAGAAGCAGCAAGAGCAGCCAATAAGCTAGAAGTCAAGAACACATGTCCATCAGAGGCAGTACCTATATGTGATGAATACCAATCTAATATAAGTAATAGATACTGCCATATTGATGATAAAGAGAACTTATGCATGGGCTCTAAGGGTTAAAACTATCAAGTTGTCACTCTTAAACCTGAAATCCTGAACATGTATATTGTATAATCTATAGAAGAGGATGAATGGGTGATTCTGGAGTTAACAAGCCCTAAAAAGAAGGCCAATTAGCAAGAAGAAACACCTTCTGCAAATTCAACCAGTGTGAAGATTCAAGCAGAACAACTTGCATATCTAATATCTGATGGAGAATCTGATTTGGATAAGAAATATGAACCATTGGAAGAAAGAACATCAGTCAGTATTGGAATAGTTAGAAAAGCTAAGAACAATCAAAGAGCTAAGATTGCAACACCTCATACTTAGTGTACTGAACAATTTATTACTTACCAGA